GGCGAGGAGGCCGGGGCGGGGAGATCGGGGAGGCCGGGGTGTCGGGGACGCTGGGCGGGGAGGCCCGAGAGTCCGGGTGTTGAGGTCGGGCTGTTGAGGAGGCCGGGGTGCCGGGGAGGCCGGGCGGTTGGGGCCGGGGTGCCGGGGCCCCGGTGTCCGGGAGGCCGCCCTGTGCCGGCCGCCGCGATGGCGGGCGGCAGATCGGGACCCGGCGGCCGGCCCCGCGTGTGGGCCGTGGGTCGGGCGCGGCGGCCCCTCTGCCCCAGAGTCGGCGTTTTAACGCGGCCGGGAGTCATTGTGCCCGAGCGGGTCGCATTATGTAACAGATACAGTCGGTTTGTTTTGCCAAGACAGGAAACTCCCTGTAACAGGGCCGGACTTTAAACGTTTCCCAGCAGAGAAGCCGGGGAAGCCGCGCGGGTCTGGCCGTTGGGAGGTGGGTGGCCCCGGACCCGGCTGCAGGGACAGTCCGTCGTCCCTTCGTCCCTCTGACTGTGGGGAACTGAGCCCTGCTCGGCTCCCTTGGACCCTCGTTGTAGGAGAAGTGAGCTCACCGAGGTGTGATTCGGAGAAGACACAGCCCCTGTTAGGGCACACTTGAGTTTTGACACAACTACGTCCGCCCAGGAAACTGCCACGCCCATCCCAAACGTTTTCGTCACCCCGAAGTTTCACCCCTGCCTGGGTGGGCTTGGGGAATTAGGGTGGTATATGCCCTTACCTGCTCTGCCAGGCACTGCCCCGAGCGCCTCGTGGGAAGTGGGACAGTGTTCACACCAGCGGGAGCCCGGCTATGATCCTGTTCCTGCTTTAGCCGGAGCAGGGCCGGGACCGTTGAAGTGACTTGTTCCCAGCCAGGCAGGAAATGAACTGATTTGAAGACGTTTGCTGCTCCTTAGCGTGCAGGCCTCCTCTCTGGTGGTCCACGCGGCTTTTCTGGGTGTATTTCACTGAAGTACGGCTGGAAAGGCTTCTTGTCCTCGCTGACCACCTCCTGGTGGGACTGCTTGTCCCTCTGCAGAAGCGCCAAGTGTGCTTGGAGCCACATGGCAGTGACAGAGGGTGTCGGGAAGCCAGGAGCCGTGAGCAGTCGGTCACTCTGTGCCACTGACTGCCCTCCTTCCCCGTCACGGTTCCATCTTCAGACGCTGGAGCTGCCGTGACCGTTGTTAGGTGAAGTTCATGTGCAGAGTGGTTGAGGGGCCCATCGGGAGAGCGTGGGTTGTGGAGGCTGGTTACACTTTAGAGCTACCTGGTACTTTGGCGGCGAGGAGAAAATTACGAGTTTGCCTTTAATCCGGTGAGTAGCCGGTTGTCACTTGGACCCCATGACCCTCTCTCAGTAATGACGTGCAAAGTCGTCCGTCCCCGGGGGCATGAGGGTCCCCTCCGTGTAGGCTGTGGTGCTGACATCCCGGGGGCTGCACCCAGCCCCCTTCCGAGGGCACTGCTGGTGCAGGACTGGCCGGTCGGTGACTTTGTGGCCCATTTCTGGGGGGCCCGGGGTTGAGCGGGCTCCTGGAGACCCCTGCCATGCAGGTGAGTTGGGTTTTGGCCGGCCAGAGTGTTTTCCGGGCTTGTCCTTGCAGGGAATTCTTGTTAAATTTCAACGTAAAACGTGGGTTTGTATTTGACAAAGATCAGAAGGGTCTGTCTTAAAAAGCGCATTTAGGGTTTGCTGGGATTGCCTTTTGGGGCTTACCAAGTGCTCTTTGAGGACTTTTCCGGAAGATCAGCTAGGCTGCCTTGAGGCAGTCAGGTCCTGGGGGCGCCCCCTTGCCCGCTTTCCCAGTCTTGGCGTGTGTAGCAGTGGGCCTGGGGCTCCACTGTGGAATGTTCATTTGTAAGCCAGTCGCTTAAAGTCCTTTTGCTTCCTGTCAGTACAGTGTAGTTGTTTGGAGGGAGGAGTCCTCGGTCCTCGCCATCATTTCCCAGGGTGACAGTTGGCTTGGCGGGTGGTGGTCCAGACCCTGGAGTCTTCACATGAGGGAGACTGAAAATAGACTCGGTTACTGAGTCGGAGGGTGGAGCTCTGAGAAGAGCAAGTTCTCCTAGAGCTCCGTGGCCGAGATTTCAGGCACCTGAGCCCCTGCTGGCCACCCCGGGGTGGGGGTTCCCCGGGCAGCGTGTGGTTCTCAGGGGCGGCCCTCAGTGTGGCGCGAGGGCAGAGATGCCCCCTGTGGTATATGGCACGTCTCGTCTGGGTGTGCCGGAGGACGAGGAGGGCACGGCCCGGTGCCACCGTCGGGGCGGCGGCTGAGGAGTGGCCTTGTGGGGGCGGGGCAGGCTGGCTGGGCTGCGGGGGTTTCTGTGGTGGTCACTCTGGAAGCTGGGCGGGGGCCTCCCCGGGTGAGGACGGCCCCCCAGACCGGTACGGGGCTCCTCTCTCTGGTCCCGGTGCGCTCGAGCCGCCCTGTATCTCCACGTGGGTGTGGAGGGCGCGTCGTGGAGAGGACGGACGGCTGTGCTCTGTGCTCTCACCGCCTAGGCTCCCGGCACCCAGCAGGGGTGTTGCACTGGGCTGCAGGGGAAGACCCTGCGAAGGGGAGTGTTGGTCAGGGGTGAAGGAGCCGCCGAGCACGCTTGCCTTGCTGTCCTGACTTTGGCGCCTGCTGGGGTCCAGCCCTGCGTGTGGGCTTCTCTGGGCTCAGGGCTGGGGCTCCCTGCTCGTGAGGGATGTTGCGGTCATCGTGGTGACCTGTCAGCTGGGTCCAGGAAGGTGCTCGGCGAGCTGTGGGAATCACAGGGCGGCCCAGAGGCTCTTGTCCCTCTCAGAGGCCCCTCCTCACTCCTTGTCCTCTCCTCTGGTCCGGGAGGGACCTGGTAGGGAAGGTTGTTGGACACGATCGTGAGTCCCGGGGACGAGTGATCTGGGACTCCGCAGGGAGGCGTTAGCTGGGAGTTTCGTTTTGATTTAGCTCGGGTTGGTCCGTTAGCTGTGCCCCCGGCGCGTCTGGTGGTTTTCTCGTCCCGTGTCTTCTGCACGGAGCTAACTTGGCCTTTTCCTCTGTTTTAGGGAGTCAGTACCAAATGAGGAGGAAAGGACGATGTCATCGCGGCGCTGCAGCGAGACACCCTTCCTCCCCGTGCAGTACTAAGCACTCCCCCACGCGAGAGACCCTGACCTACGCGCAGGCCCAGAGGATGGTTGAGATAGAGATCGAGGGGCGCCTCCATCGGATCAGTATTTTTGATCCCCTGGAGATCATACTGGAAGATGACCTCACGGCTCAGGAGATGAGCGAATGCAACAGCAATAAAGAAAATAGCGAGAGGCCACCGGTGTGCTTAAGAACTAAGCGCCACAAAAACAACCGAGTCAAAAAGAAAAACGAAGCCCTCCCCGGCGCCCACGGCACGCTGGCTTCGGCCAGCGCGCTTCCTGAGCCCAAGGTGCGCATCGTGGAGTACAGCCCGCCGTCCGCCCCCAGGAGGCCCCCGGTGTACTACAAGTTCATCGAGAAGTCGGCCGAGGAGCTGGACAACGAGGTGGAGTACGACATGGACGAGGAGGATTACGCCTGGCTGGAGATCGTCAACGAGAAGCGCAAGGGCGACTGCGTGTCGGCCGTGTCGCAGAGCGTGTTCGAGTTCTTGATGGACCGCTTCGAGAAGGAGTCCTACTGCGAGAACCAGAAGCAGGGGGAGCAGCAGTCCCTGATCGACGAAGACGCCGTGTGCTGCATCTGCATGGACGGCGAGTGCCAGAACAGCAACGTGATCCTCTTCTGCGACATGTGCAACCTGGCCGTGCACCAGGAGTGCTACGGGGTGCCCTACATCCCCGAGGGCCAGTGGCTCTGCCGACACTGCCTGCAGTCCCGGGCCCGGCCCGCCGACTGCGTGCTCTGCCCGAACAAGGGAGGTGCCTTCAAAAAGACGGACGACGACCGCTGGGGCCACGTGGTGTGCGCCCTGTGGATCCCGGAGGTCGGCTTCGCCAACACGGTGTTCATCGAGCCCATCGACGGCGTGAGGAACATCCCCCCGGCCCGGTGGAAACTGACGTGCTACCTCTGCAAGCAGAAGGGCGTGGGCGCCTGCATCCAGTGCCACAAGGCAAACTGCTACACGGCGTTCCACGTGACGTGCGCCCAGAGGGCCGGCCTCTACATGAAGATGGAGCCCGTGAAGGAACTCGCGGGCGGCGCCGCGACCTTCTCTGTCAGGAAGACCGCTTACTGTGACGCCCACACGCCCCCGGGCTGTACGCGGCGGCCTCTGAACATTTACGGGGAGGTGGAAATGAAAAACGGTGTCTGTCGAAAAGAGAGCTCCGTCAAGACGGTCAGGTCCACGTCCAAGGTCAGGAAGAAAGCCAAAAAGGCGAAGAAGACGCTGAGTGAGCCCTGTGCGGCCCTGCCGCCCGTGTGCGCCCCGTATATCCCCCCTCAGAGGTAAGTGCGTGCCAGCGCGGGATAGAGGAGGAGGCCGGAGGGGGGCCCGGGGCGCGGCGCGGCTGTGTCAGAGGATCGCGCGCCTTCTGCTTACGTGGCTCTCCGCTGGTCCCTGCCACGCGGAGCTCGGGGAGCCCAGGGCCACGCTGACTGCAGTAATTAGGGTCGGGGGGCCCCCGAGCACTGCGGGTGCGGTCACCACCTTTGACGCGGTAAGATGCCGGGCCTCGCTCCGCTTCCCCACTGAGTTTGAGAACCTTGCGGCGCTTTATTTGGCTTTGTTATTATTATTATATATTTTTTAACTTTTGTTTTTATTTTTGAGAGAGACACAGAGCACGAGCAGGGGAGGGGCAGACAGAGAGGGAGACACAGGATCCAAAGCAGGCTCCAGGCTCTGAGCCACCAGCGCAGGGCCCGACGTGGGGCTCGAACTCAGGAACCGCGAGATCATGACCTGAGCCAAAGTTGGACGCTTCACCGACTGAGCCACCCAGGCACCCTTTATTATTGTTTTTTAACGTTTACTTATTTTGAGAGAGAGAGAGAGACCGAGAGAATGAGAGAGAATGAGAATCCTAAGCAGACCCCACACTGTCTGAGCAGAGCCTGACACGGGGCTCAGCCTCACGGACCATGAGTTCGTGACCTGAGCCGAAACGAAGACTCAGGATGCTCAACCAGCGGAGCCACCCAAAGCCCCCTAGAACCTTGTAGCGTTTAAAATGAATCTGTCGTAAAGTGAAGGAGGGTAAGACAGACGGGCGCGGGGATCGGAGTGGGGCTGACGGGAGCTTCACGGAGGGAGGCGCTGGTCTCCTTCCTGTTGTGACAGCCTTTCTGGGTTTCCTGACCGTTTCCTTCGCGGTGTGGATGTTGCCCGGTCCGTGTAGGGCTCTCCAACAGAGCAGTCTGCAGTGGTTGAGGATCGCAGCAGGGGGGGGGGGGGGGGCTCGGCGGTAGTGGGGGGTTCGTGGTAGTGGGGTCAGGCCCTTGGCCTTGCTCTTACACGTGTCACAGAGGCCAGTCCCCACCCAGCTGTGCCCACTTTTGTCCCTGCCCTTGTTTCCTCCTTGCTCCTCCTGCTGCCGACTCACTCTTACCTCGTTCGGAATGTGAGGTAAGTGGTTTGGTCTTATGCCAGAGCCCGAGGGTGGGACAGCCGACCCCTCGCTCAGACACTCCTTGAGCTTTGAGGCGGCAGCACGCTTGATAATAGGGCACGAGGGCTTTAAAACCCTTCGGTGAAGGAAGCGAAGCGTTGAGGTGATGAAGTCCGCCCCTGAGAGCAGCTCGTGGGGTACCTGTTGTGGCTGGACTGCGAATCGTTGGTGAGTGAGTCGCATGGGAATCGAACCTGCGCATCTCACAAATTGAGCGTACGACAGACTCGCGGGTGTTTCAGTTGTTGAGAAGTAGAACGTTCAGCATGTTGAAGGATAGCTTTTTGTGTCGTGCTTCTGTGTATCTGCGGTGGGAACACCAGCCCGTTGCGGTTGGACATCGTAATGTGGTTTTAACGGGTCCTGAGTTTCGTCGAGCTCACCGGTTCGGTTGTAAGGTGCAGTGGGACCTTACGTTGGAGTGCTGTTCGATCCCAAGACTCTGGGCACTTACTTTGTATTAAGAGTTAGAGGTGCGTTGTTTTTTTTTTTTCCCCCAAGTGAAGTTTTATAGAGCAGCACATACTTCTCGTAGAATCAGTAAATTCAGACAGAAGTGACCAAAACTGCTCGTCCTTCTTATCCGGAGGAAACTATTGTTGAAACCAAGGTGTGTCTTTGCAGATCAGTCAGCTGGACTTTTAAAAAACCATTTCACTTGCGTTTCTACCTGTGGGGCAGAGAGTGTGAGATTTGCATCCAGAGCTTCTGTGGAAGAGCCCCGGGTCTTAGCGTTTGCTGTAATGCAAGTAAATGAAAGGGAAGCCACGTGACCTAACAAATTGAGAATCTAGAAGTGTCTGGTCTCCCTTGGCTGTGCCCAGCGCCTTGTGGTTGCCCGCTCCTGATGAGCGGTGCTGAAGAGGGGCTGGCCTGTGGGGCTGCTGGGCCACTTGCAGGAGAAAGCATTTCCAGTTGGAAAATGTGGGTGCTCGCAGGTCCTGGGTGACCAGCCCGACGGACAAAACGCCGGCTTTGGATCTGAATCTTTGAAAGCGGGTGATGTAGTTAATAAACCACGTACTGAAAGTGTAGTCTGGCCCCTGTTTGTTTGTTTCTTTTCTTAATTTAGGAGTAAAATTGGTTTCGGTTTGGAGTAGAGCTAAAAGATGTGGCTGGGGAGAGATTCGTGGCCTTGCCGTGTGGCTCGCCCAGACCTGCTGGGCGACCTTGATGTTTTGGGCCACAGCACCATCCTTGGAGGGTCTTCTGGTCACCCTTAGCCGGTTGGTAAGCTGTTGTTGGACCACCCTGTGGGTGGTCAGGGCAGGTGCTGGGGTGGCCCAGGCTCACCAGCCGCTACGCTGATCCTGCCGTGGCCAACGGTGTGGCTGGTCTGGTGGCCCCCGTTCCTGGGGGCGTGCGGGAAATCCCACTCCCCTCCCTTTTTGCCTTCCCTTCCAAGAACGATCAACGTCTTGGCTGTGCTGTTCTAGCTCCTGAGTAGCCGCTTTTCCGATTAGATCCTTCTCTGGTTCCTCCTCCGTTCCTCGCTGCTTCGTGGGGGAGGGAGGGAGGGAGGGACCGGTTGAGGCTTGTGAGGCGAAGGTGCAGGTGGGGGCGGTCAGGGACTCACTGAGTTGCCCCAAAGCTCCAGAGCTGGTAATTCTCTCTTGTTGCCCTTTGGTGGGAGTCGCTCTTTATGTGTGGAGGAGAGAGGCCTCTAATGAGCAGAGGCTGATGTGCTGTGTTGGTCCGGACGTTAGCCTGGTCCTCTCGGCCACTTGGGTCGTTTACGCGTGTGTTGCTCGGGGCACGTGCGCACGTAGTGAGTTACTTGAGTCAACGAGAAGGGTGGAGGGAGGATCGGGTCCACAGCCCAATTTCCTGGAGGGTGCTGCGCCCTCAGACACCGACCGGGTGAGGACGGAAATGGGAGAGTGAATGCTTAGTAGCCATTCGACTGAGGAATTTTATGTTTGCTGAATAGAACTGTGGAAAGTCCGGACTTGAGTTTTGTATGTCTTTTTTTCGCCACGTTTCTGGCCCTTAGCGTGACTGTAATTTAGAAAAGTTCTGTTGGGCTGTGGATTGGGGAAGTGAGGGAGGGGGTGGCTCGGCCCTTCCGGGCAGGTGGAGGCCCTGCTCTGGCCACCCCACAGCTGCACGGGCCCCTGGGTTTGCCTCCTGGACGTGGCGCCGGAGGCAGGTCACGGTGCCCCTGCCGGCATCGGGGGCGTCGGGGTCCTCGGGGGAAGGGCCTGCATGGGTCTAAAGCAGCAGCTGCTCTGGAAAGAAGCACCGAAAACCAGACCGGAAAGCGAAGCGTTTGGTTTGTGAATTGAACACTACGTGGAAAAGCAGGGCGGTCGTCTTTGCCCGCCGCCGCTCGGAAGCTGGCACGCTGAGAAAGCGCCGCGGTGGTGGGCTTCCCACGCGCTCTTCGAATATTCTCGTTCCCACCCGCCGTGACTTCACAAAGTGGACTTCCCCGCTTTCCTTGGATGTGAATTCGGATGGAGGCGCTGGGCGTCTCATCCCGTGAGTACGTCCGCCCCGGGGTGCGGCTTCCCCCCGGCTCCGGGCGCCGCGGCCTGCGGAGGGTGCTCTTCCCGGGAGGCACGATTGCGGCTGCTGTGCAGACTGGTTCTGACCACGTTGCCGGGGCGGGTGGGAAGAGTTCTGGTGAGGACTCGGTGTTTCGCGGCGTGTGGGCAGGTGTTCCAGCACCTTGTGCTCGCGAGAGCAGCGCTGCGGGCCGCGGTCCACGGTCACCCGAGCGTCTGGATACCTCGGCCTGTGCCCTGGGGGGCCCCTGCCTCTCTGGCCCTCGTCCTGGGTGCCTTGCTCGGTGGTGGTCTCTGCAGGGAGCTGCTGTGCTCTGCGTGTGCGTCCTCTCCGTCTCTCTGGGCCTGGGTCTCTCCCGCAGCGTCCCGGGCCTGCAGAGCGGGCGCTCAGTCCGTGGGAAGAACCAGTCGGAGTAGCGACTTTGGTCCTTTCCGTTCACATGCCTTGTGTTTGCTCACTTTGGGCAGAAACAGGATTGAAACTTATTAGAAGTTTTCTTTAATACTAGCCGTGGACGAATGCCACCCAGTGTCACCACTGCCCCAGCCTGGGCGTTACCTAGGCTGATAAAGTGCAAAATGTGAGTGGTGCGCACGCCGAGTCCGGACCCGTTCACCGCAGCAGGTGGATGGATGGTGTCAGGACTGCTGATGGGGCCTCACAGTGGCGAGCTCTCCACAGGCACACGTGGAGACCGGATCGTGTTGGGGGTCATCGTTTCAGTTTTTTTATTTGGAAATAGCTCTAAATTTATGAAATGTTACAAAAATAAGAAAGAGAGAGACACTCAAATCCCAGGGTTCACCCTGTACACAGAGGTGGCCCGCGTGTCCGCATGTGTGTGCCGGGACAGGGCCGGCCTCCGGGTGAGCACATGGTGAAGCTCGCTGTAGCCTCCCTGCCCTCCATTCAGGCCCCGTCCCGGTCAGGCTGGCCGGCTGTGATCTGGATGCTTCCGGAGCTACTCGAAGGTTCTGAGACTGGCCATTTTTGGAGAAGACAGCCCTTCTGCCTTCGCAGAGCCAGTGAGCATTGTTCTGGGTTTGTCTGGTGTCCATGGAGGTGCCGTGTGCCCCCCCCTCCCCCCGGAGGTAGTGACATCCCCTGCTTCTCAGTGACCAAGGTGTTGCTGGAGCCTCCACGGGACAATTTCTGCTTTTGTGTTCTCCCGGCTCGCGGCCTGAGGTCTGGGAGGCCCTTGGAAGTGGCGCCAGCTGCCCGGTACCTCTTCACACTGGCCCAGGGTCCCGCCTGTTGGTCCTGTTCCCCAGGAGGCCTGGAGACGACCACCTCAGCCCTCCAGTTTCTCATCAGTGGGCTCCTTCCCCT